GATACATTCTGTGTTTTACTAAAGTAGTCCTTTATGCGAGATCTGATGTAACTAAAACATCAAACAACGCCTCGTTTTAACTTTAAAAAACATTGCCTAATAAACATTGGAGGTATAGCATGTTTCAGCGTATAGTAGCGAGTGAAAAGTTAAGCCTATTTTTAAATTTCACTTGTTCGTATAATGAACATGGAGTTAACTAACTCGCTCAAATCTTTAACTCGTCTATTTTTTCAGCATTTTCAATAATAATCATGAACCAATCATTTTCAATGTACATTTTAAGTTAATCATACAGACTACAGGTTGAAATCAGACTTACTGACGAATGTTTGGTCAACCACAAGATACATCTTCTTAGTTATTTTGCATACAAGCGTAGGTAATATATATATACATATAGACATATATATACATACATACATACATACATATATATATATATATATATATATATATATATACATCTCTGAGCCTAATCATATAGTCGAATATACAGCTGTATAGATAGTTATGATATACACCTACGTGCAAGCCCAATGCCACACAAGTGTGATGAATGACTACGACCTGCACGCCACTCTCAACCTACATACATTATATACATACAGATACACACGTACAAAAATATGTACATATATAGACATATGTGGCAACCAAAACTTTCGAGTAATTCAAGAAAAACATCACTTGATAGAATGAGAAACTGGCTCGAGGTTTCAGTTTCTTTTCACCTAATACACTTAGTCCACATGCCTGTCTCGACACGTAACCATATATGAACTTTCTAATAATACCCACTATAAGTCAATGCGTTACACTTTCCTCTATGTTCGTTATACAAGACTATTTAGTTTAAGAGTTATTATTTAGTAATTTAATATTTAATGAGTATTTAGTTTTCATAACAAGAGTGTTAAAAGTTAATATTTTAAAAACGATAGTTGTGACAAGTTTCGTTACGTAACTCGGTACAAGTCGCATGCTGTGTATGCAGTTTAATTGTTGTACACGGCTTTCGTACTATTGCTGACGTCATCTTACTCGAAGCTTCTAAATTATTCTCGTTGTGTGTAATACTGATGCAACTAGGGGATAGATATTTCTAGATTTTTCTGTCGTGTTATAAATATACAGAAATGAAAATAAAGAAGAAAACAAGTTAAGTAAGAGATAATTACACAGATCTAGACTGAATGATTAGCAGTTTAGCCATGACGGACGATTTCTAGAGAAGATAGTAAAATAAGTCGGAAAACGTTCAGTCAGTGAAAGTGAAGATAAGACCGTGTAATCGTTAGTTTACACGTAACAGGCGATATTTTAAAGTGAGTTTAACAGAGCTAAGAATAATAATTTGTATTGTCAAAGGGGTGTTCTAAAGTAATTGAACCAACCTGTGTGGACTTTTGACAAGAAAATTATTTATTTTTGGAAACAACTGTGGTATCCTATACAGTAAAGAATTTTTGTACATGCGTTTAACTTGTTTTGAATATATTGTTTTAAAACAAGTTAATTTTGTGCTTTTTATTTATTGTTCGAATTTATCACCAACAAGTTACAGGCACCTACTGTAGAAGAATCCCACAGCCCATATACAAAAACCCTGACACTGTAATTTCTTTTCAATTACTGGTCTATTAATCTCGTTAGAATTAGATTAGCATAATTCCTCGCAGATATAAGATAATTCCGATTTATAACGGGAGGTTCGTGCAGGATAATTACACATTAAATCTGAACTTAACTAAATGACTGAGATTTAAGCTAAGACTAAGAGAATAAACAGACTGTACATGTGATGTAAAATTGGTAACAATATTATATTTATACTTCAAAGCAAACTACATCAACAATAAAACAGTAAGCGTACTTGCATAAGGCACTCAACAATCTCCTTCCAACTGTATCTACGAATGGATTAACAGCTTTATTCCCTCTAGATGTACCTCCAATGAGCTATTCACATCGATAATCAAGCAAGAATTACTTCAACTAATACTAATTACAGAAACAGATAACCTCAGCTATGTACAAACGATATTCGTTACCATGTGATTGGTCGTTTTCACACAACAGACTAAAGCAGTACACTCTAGATATCATCCATTCGGCCAATGAGGGGATTGCCATCAACGATTTATTTCTACACAATGGGTGAAGTTTCAGCAACATTCCTAAGGGTAAAGTAGATGCTGCCTGCCAGATAAGAACAAAGACACAAAAGCAAATAGAACGAAACAATCTCAGTTGTTTTCTAGATCACCTGTTTATGCCAAAACTACAGAGAAATAAACGAATCAAAATATTTTTTTTAATTATGATATTAATAAAAGTAGGCAGAAACATATTATGCCTGCATATCACAACCTCCATTAAAGTAATAATCTAAAATATCCTTTTAACCTCGAAAGCTACGTCATACTGACTTTCCTATCAGCGATTAAACACGATTTTATCTTTTCGTTTCTCCCTCATTCTTGTCTTAATCCCAAAATATAAGTTATAGTATGAACAACATTCTGTAAAATAGTTCACAAACCAAGAATCTGAAACTAAACTAAAGTTGTATTATTTACAGCTCTCGGCCAACATTTTAACGTAGAACATCAAGCTTTTGACAACTATTGAATCAATATTATTAACATTTTAATAACATGCATTTGTCACAAACAAACAAAAAATCTCAATACTTTGTCGTTTTCCTCTCACACTTTATATAAACTGAAAAATGTTAAGTAAGAGTATAAAATGAGAGAAGACAATACGGTTCTGGAACATGGAAGTTCACTTTCGTTTTTAGGTTTAACTGAATAAAATTTAACTAACTGCATCAACTGGCAGAAATTACTTTGGAAATATTTGTGGAAATTGTTTTGTTAATAAATACTTGAAATCAGTGTTTTCCAATCTGTGTCGCGGCAAATTGCGAGAGTTCAATCAAACGAAGAATAACTAAGAGCATAAAAAACAACGTGTGGCAGCATGGATGTCACTCAAATCAAGGAAAGTGGGTTATGGTGTTGTCAGCGAAGAAGGATTGGGAACCATTGATTTAAATCAATGTTATCAATACGGCTTTAAATTTTTGTGGAACAATTTGGTTAATTAAGTAAAAATAAATTTCGAAACAATTTTTACAAAGAGTAATTTTCTGAATCTGAAATGGGCGAAGACAGTCTTAAATAATCATTGCTCGTCTCGTGACATTTTTTGTATTTTAATAAATGTGTTTATTCAAAGACAAAATCTTTTTTTTTTAACAGTGATCATAAAATGATAAAAATTCACACTTTAAAGTAGATAAGACTAATTGACAGGCATGCCCCAGTTAATATCCTGTCCCAAATTTCTGACCACATTCTCGTCTGTGGCTTGTTATTCATCTCCTTCCCAGATCGCCTAGGGTAGAACTGGTTCGGAAAGAGGTCAGGCTAAATGTTTTGTCATAATAAATAAATGTTCATAATATTGTAGTTCTTTTAAATTATTTTATTATACTGTTAGAAGCGTTACATAATCAGTATTAATACTTTGTGAGTAACTCATGTACAAGTATAATTCAATATTAAAATAACAGATTACCGAGAAACTAAACTAAACTAAAGTCAAATAAAAACGACGCAAGCATTGAATACTACGAGTCTCCTCATAACACGTAGTTTTAATGACACAGAGCGTTCCATACTTAAGCATGCTTACCAGTATTCACCTTTTTTCTATTAAACTGGTTTGGTTTGAATTTCGCACAAAGCTACAAAATTTAGCAGTGTAAGACTAGAGGGAAGGCAGCTAGTCATCACCACCCACCGCCAACTCTTGGACTACTCTTTTTCCAACGAATAGTGGGACTGACCGTCACATCTTAAGGCCCCCACGGCTGGAAGGGCAAGCATGTTTGGTGTGACGGGGATTCGAACCCGCAGATTATGGGTCGAACCTCTATTAAACTGATAAGGGAATATTTCGTATTAATTCAGGCCTTGTTAATAATCTGCGAACAGAATATTTGAAGACCACCACGTTTAAGTGTAATATAAATGCGCCGGGAATTATTTATCTCCAATTCTAAATTTTAGAAAGTTGCCGTTTTCTAGTCAAAGTCTTGTCTTTGTCTTGTCTAAAGCTTTCGTCAAAGTCTTGTCTTGTCTAAAACTTAAACTAACGGTTCTCAAATTTTTAACCCGAGGACCCCTTTTAATTTTTTTTTTTCAAAACCCCCAAACTTATTGATGTTTTTGTTTAAAAAAATAATAATCTGTGTACACGAAAAAACTATACTCCAAAATTAAATGTTTTAATTCATAGGAATTTAATTCTACGAAAAATGTTTTTATTCTATAAACCATATTTCTTTAAGTATCTTTATGAAATTTTGGACATGATCGCGGACCCCCAGAAATACCCCCGCGAACCCCTGGGGGTTTTCGGACCCCTTTTTGAGAAACGCTGTCTTGTAACTTTCATGTCAGATAGACTTAGATGATTTTACAAAAAGTAAGAAAAATCAAGTTAATATAACTCATTCAATGGATTGCTGATCAGATAAGAACTTCTTATTGGTATAAAAGTACTTTAGCCTATTCAGTGTTCTGAAATAATTAAATATTTCTATATTTTAACCCACTTCACAATTAGTCATCCCTTGTCATGCAGTTTTATTTTAAATAACGATATTCTAATTAATAAAAAGCCAGTAGGGATAACATTTGAACTGTTCACAAATGTTATGAACGTTATGTCTGAAATACTATGTTGATTGGTTTATTTGTTTTAGTGTAAAGTTTGTTTTGTTTTCGAATTTCGTGCAAAGCTACACGAGGACTATCTGCGCAAGCAGTCCCTAATTTAATAGCGATAGACCAGAGTGAAGACAGATAGGCTACTTTTTTACTCACGAATAGTGGGATTGTTTTTTTCATAATTAACTAAACTATGGATAACTTTATTTGTACAAGTTTAATACAATAGTACATACATACTGTAAATGGCCTTACCTGATCGGTGCTGCGTGAGAACTGGGACGTCAGAAAGTAAAAAATCTAAAGCTTAAACTAACCACCTAACACTCACTTGTTTGCTTTCTCAATAACTTTGGTAAGCTTCTGAGCGAGAGAACAATTTTTACCATTTTGCACACGGCCCGATTGAACTCGTACTTCACTATGTGCAATTCCACTACACAACAGGAAAAGACGTGTGGGCGCCAGACTGACATATAGGGGCAGTGTTCCTATTACGTAATTGGTACGTGACCTGCTGATGAGGTCACCCAAATCTACTAAATTTTCTTCCTTTTTTGTACACAATCTTCTCAACTATCGCCCAAAAATAAATATGTAGATTTAGTGAGTTAAGGTATTTATTGATTGCTTAACTGCGATTTATAAAGTTTCACTGATTTTAATCAAGCTTTCGTTAATCAACGTTATGTAATATTACAATATAATTTAAGTACCAGCATTAGAACTCAATGCTGTGCTTAAAATAGTTTTAACGGTGTCTTTAAGTTATACGGCAAAGAGAAAAGCATTCAGATTTCACCCAAATTTACCGTTTATCTTCCCTTGTGAGTACTAGCAGCCGATGTTCATTAATCTGTTAAACTGTCCCACGAATAGTATTTTTATTACAATATTATTTTAAGTTTTTTTCCTCTGGTTATATTTTAATAATGTTGTACTATCAGCTAAGCCATCAATAATCAATATTATTTTCGGTTTTTAACGCTGGAGATATATTCACTTCCATGTGAACTTCACACATTTTTTTTTCACAGATTTGTTTAACAAATTTATCTCAAAATAAAACGATGCGACGTGAAGACTAAGACGCCACAAGACTAACGTATGGATACATGCTTACCCGTTAGCGCATGTCACATATTTCCTAAACGCTGTTAGTAACATCCTTTGTTTCGTCAACAATACACCTACACTTTTATTATTCTGGAATAAAGTGACAAGAAGCTGATATTAAAGAAGGAATTTTAAGTTGAGTGTCTGATGGAAATGAAACCTGGGTTAATGAGTGTGATAAATCTTGAATCATAACAAAAAAGCCGTATTTTTGAGAATATACATGTATCCGACTAAAAGCAACGTATTTGGTTTTGTACGCTAAACAAAACCGCATGTTGCGTCATCGAGTCACATGACTACTGTGACGCAACGTTTCTAGAACTATCATGTACTTTGGCGAATGTTCTAGTTCTTACTAGATATAGGGTAGGCTGGTATATAAAAGAGGGGAATGTAATGTCTGGGTAGTCAGTGGGTAATTGATCTGCGGTCAGAAGTATTATTGACGTTCGTTGATATGGCGCGATTGTTGAAGTTGAGTGTATGGGTAAAGTTATATTCGGAAAGAATAAACCAGTTTTATTAAGTAAAGACTTGTGTCGCTTAAGTTTCGTCGGAACGAAGTTACGGAAAATTAATTAACACACGGAGACGTAACACGCAGAAACGTTGTTACTATTTGTTACTACCAAACAATGATGTCGGTAAAGACCTCGACCTGTAAAAATCGGGCTGCCAAGTATAAAACAAAGCTGAATTTACTATAAAACTAAATATATAGATATCAACCATGGAAATATATTATAAGTTACGACTATAAAACTAGTACTTACATTAATTGACACGAGAAATAAACGATCATTTTTTACGAAGATGCATAATTTGTTAGTGTTTATGTATGATAATTAAAAATATGTATATTGTTAAGACAGCGGAAGTCACGTGACTCTGGTAACACGTAATGAGTTCTAGAAAGACCGGGGAACATCACGAGTAATCCAGTATTTGCTAGGCGCCCTCAATTCTTGTATATAAGTGCGCCAGACAATTA